CAAAGGTATCCTGCCCAAATATCCATTTGCCTCATTAGTGCAGTGTGCATAAACACCCCTCAGGGTCTTAGCACAGTGGTAGCAAACTTCATTTTTATAAAAGTTAATACCCAAAAAGCACCCAATTTGGGATTGTATATTTGAAAAATCATTTTCTCAAAAAAAAAAAAAAGTGTGAAAGTTTTGCTCTGTTGTGAATGAGTGATTGTTTTCTTTAGACAAAAAAAAAAAGTCATTGTTTATAAACATTATTTTATGGCATTCAAAGTTCTGTCTGTTCAAACATTTTATTATTCAAGCTATAAGCATAAAAATAAATGCTTGACTTGGCACCCACGTGAAACCGGCCCGCTAAGCTCTCAACGTGTCTAAATGTGGGTGCTTACAACTCCCCCGCCACTTCCTTCAGACCTCTCTGAGGGAAAGCGTTGCTTTTCCATCAGTGGTTCAACACAAATGTTTTGTAGATCATGGACACAAAGTTCAAGTAAAAGAATAAAACAGAGAAGGCAGGCTAGTGCATACACCCCGGAATCGCAGGCCCCTGCAGAGGGAGGATGCCTGCTGGTGTTTTGCCTTGTGCTCTCACCCTTCCTATGTTTCTGTCACAGTTACAAAGCCTTCTGGGTTTAGTGGCAAGACCTTGTCTTTTGGTCCTTTCCTTCTTCAGATGCAGTCAGTGGGGGGAGATCTCTAGTGGCTGAGGGAGCGCTTACAAGAAGAGGCTTCTGCAAGGGCTGTTGTCACAAAGGGAAGAAGACTTCCAGGTGCTGTGCTGGCCCGAAAGCAAACCAATCCACCTCCAGAGCAGGAGGTGATGGCGTGCCACTCCTGTGAATCAACTGCTGCCTAGAATCTTAGCAGCCTAGTGTGTGCACCCGTCAGCAAGAGGCTGCCTGAGTCCGGGAACTGGAGTGGGGGCCTGCTAACAAGCTGATCTGGAAGCTTCCACAGGCCCCAACTTGAAACCTTCACATAATATAGTCTCTTTCCTCTTGTGTTGAGGTTCTTTGGGGATGAGATTCCCCTGTGTTTTCCCTTTCGCAGTGGCTTGCTAATAATCACCTACGGTTTGTGGTGAAACTGGGGTTCTGTCACCCCCACACAAAAAGTCATTGTTTACATTTTATGGCATTCAGAGAAAGTTCTGACTGTTGAAACATTTTCCTATGCAAGCTACAAGCCTAGAAATAAATGCTTGACTCCGCACCCAGGCCTGCCTCACAGTACCTCCGCGGAGCGCATGGGCAAGTTCTGGTCACTGCCCCAGACCTGCCAGACCAGCATCTAAGAACAGTACTAGGATCTCCGTGTCACAGGCTCCCAAGCGACTGCAGCATAGCCAGGTACAGGACCCTCTCTGCCGGCCCGATCTCCAACGTTGGTGGGGAGGAGAGAAACTGCTCATCTGAGGTGGCCTCAGAACACCCTGCACGCGCCTCCCCACTTACCCACTCTCACTACAGAAAGCCGCTCAGGCCTAAATGTGCTGCCAAGGATCCTAGAAAACAGGAACCTGGATTCGTCGGGACTGACATGGAGTCACCATTAGGTTGAGATTCATTAACAAGCCACGTTTTTTGTTTTTTGTTTTTTATTTATTTGAGACAGAGAATGAGAGAGAGAGAGCACATGAGGGGGGAGGGTCAGAGGCAGAAGCAGGCTCCCCGCCGAGCAGGGAGCCCGATGCGGGACTCGATCCCGGGACTCCAGGATCATGACCTGAGCCTGAGCCGAAGGCAGTCGCTTAACCAACTGAGCCACCCAGGCGCCCAAGCCACGTTTTTTAAGCCCAGTAATGTGTTCTTTCATTTACCTTGTAAGAGTCTCCAGTGGTCGTCCGCTGTCGACCGTTAACTTTGAATAGCTCAAGCAGTGCCCACCCGGGTGTGAAGGCATTGGCCTTCCTTGCCGACATTGTTTTAGAAATAGACTCAATATTGTTACCAAACTTACACAAACAGCCCTTCCACGGGGTGCACACCCCCACCCTGTGCAGGAGATGGGGTGGTTGTCCCCAGCGTGCAGGTGGGGAGACTGGGCTCCCAGAAGCCAACGTGATTGCCCAAACTCACTCAGCTCAACTTTGTGAGCTGAAACAAACCCAGTTTAAACGGCAGCTCTTCCACAACACTTGACTTTGTGAAAAGGCCGTAAGTTGTCATCTCTGATTAAAGGCTTAGCCAACAAGTCCATGATGCTATAGGAACCGGTTAGTGCTATACAAATATAGTTTACTTTGTTGACAAGCAAGCATTGTCTCCAGCGGTCTACAGTCAAAACTCAAGAGTACCTTCCATTTCTTTGTGCCCAGGCGTCCGTAATCCCACGCTCCTGGTTTTCCTTCTCCCTTCTCTGTCCCCGTTCCTGGATCTCCCTCTGCCACCCAGGCCCAGCTCTAAACATGGATGTTGAAGTGTTCAGGCCTGCGGCTTCCTCTCTTTTCTCATCTCATCTTGTACTACGATGAGCTCAAACACCACCTCTATACAGATAACACCCAGAATTATATCTCCAGTTGTGAACGTTCCTCTAAGCTCCCTCTAGATTCAAGACCAAATGACATCGAAAGACACCTTTGTAGGTCTTACAGACGTGATGTAACTGGTGATCTCCAGCCCCCTCCCATTTCTGCCCTAGTCAACCCCATCTCCGTATTCAGGCAAGAAACCGAATCAGTATCTTTCATTTTTCTCTCTCCTCTCAGCAGGTTCTGTTGATTCTCCGGGATAATTCCAAACGAATCTTGAGGACTAGGCCCCTGGCTCTGTCTCAGTCAGGCCACCTTCCTCTTCCTATCCACAGTTCTAACAGCCTCCTGACTGGTCTTCTTGCCTCCCTTCTTAACTCCGAGCAAACCATTCTCCATCCTTCGGCGGGAGTGATTGCCTTAAGACATAGATCATACCATTCCCCTGCTTGTTACCATTCAGTGGGTTTTTTTCTGCACTTGAAATAAAATCTGGTTTCTTTAATCCTCTCCTTCCCCTGCCCTTCTCACCCACGAACTCCAGCTTCACTGAGGGGCAGTTCCTCAAAAACACACCTCTTTGTCACCCTGGGGCCTTCACCTGCTGTTCCGTTCCTCAGCCTCAAATGATCCCTCCGCCTTTGGAAGGTGTGATCCTTCAAGTCTCTGCTCACCCCATCTCCTCAGAGAGGTCTTGGCCCCGTCCCCAACTGTTCTTCGCTTTGGTACCTGATCACTACATGCTGTTTGTTTTTACTTTTGACTTCCTAACCCAGTTTTGGGCATGTGGTAGGTTCTCAATGAAGACTTGTTGACCAAATAATTTACCTCTGAAGACTTGAAATGCTTTTGCAAAAATTTCTGTTAACTACTTTCTCCTACCTCTGGCGCCCGGGAGCCATCTTGAAGAGACCAGTACTCCAATCTTAAAGTTCTCTGCTTCTGCTGTCCTCAGTAGGACTCATAGCCCCACAAAGAGGTGGGAGCATGTAGGAAGGTGTGGAGAAGCTCAAGAGAACACCAGCATTACATCCTTCCTACATAATGGATTCACTAAATGTAAGTATTTTCATCATGTATTAAATACAATATTTCATTAAGATGGAAATACTAATTTCTCTCTGGACTAGGAATAGATGAGACATAGGAGATAAATGAGTTTTGGGTGGGTTATTGGGATCCTGTGACAGGAAAGCCGAGGTAGGCACCTCTGTGACCCTAGAGCCCCTTTTGGTCTGTACCTCTTTCCCAAGAGCCTGTGACCGGCTCCCCTCACACTGAAATCTGAGTCATTATAAGGAACTGACCTTGGTCCTTTCTGGTCCTTGACCTCTGGCATCTCCATCGGCATCTCTCTGTGGGTTTTGTCTAGTTTAGGGTTCCTGGTTCCAGAAGCCATCTACCTGCTTGGTGCCTCCTGCTGTTTTCTCCTCAAGAATGAAAATCACACACTCCTGGTGCCTGGCTTAGCTCTCAGGGGCGGGGAAATTCCACACCTGAGCTCACCTGACTGCCTTGTTCTCCCGTTAAACAGCAAACACGTTTGCAAATACTTTCTGGTGTGACTGAAAACAAACTTGTGTTGCTTTGACTAGAATCAAAATGAAAGGAGCTTCTCCAAGTAGTATCCTCCTTCTTTTTTCCAAAATTGTAAAGTCACACTCTTCTCCACAATTCACGGAACTTTTCTGGGTAGTGGCAGCTCTGGCTAAGATTCTGAAGAGCCCTGGCTCCTGAGGAAGGGGGAAGAACACAAGGCCTCTGAACAGGGACTCAGGACACCGACCCCAGCCCTAACAAATGAGCTGCTCTCTGCACTTCGCAAAGAGCAGCATCTACGGGGGAGGGGGCTGACCCAAGCCTGGGGATTCCATGGAAAAGAAGATGCAGGAGGTGGTGAGGAAGTATGGATGCCCCAGAGAGGGGACCCGCTAATAAGCTGTGCAAACTCTCCCGTAACACAATTCTCCGGGGCGCTTTCCTGCACTTAAAAAAAAAAAAAAATTTAAAATTATTTTTTAAGAATATGACTTTCAGGGACTCCTGGGTGGCTCAGTCGGTGAAGTGTCTGCCTTTGGCTCAGGTCATGATCTCAGGGTCCTGGGATCGAGTCCCGCATCGGGCTCCTTGCTCAGCGGGGAGTCTGCTTCTCCCTCTGCCCCTCACCCTGCTTGTGCTCTCTCTGACAAATAAATAAAATCTTAAAAAAAAAAAAAAGTATGACTTTCAGACAAAGCCAAAACATTTAATCACTGCACGATGCCTACACATTTTCCAGTCCTTTTCTGCTTCCATCTTACCAGATGAAAAAATAAAAATTAAAAAAATACAGGTGCCTTGGTGCAGAACTGTGTGTTCATCTGTAAGCAATTCTGCTTGAGAAGGCTGCCTGCCTCCTTCCGCTGTGAAGCCAAGTGCTCATCCAGGAGACAGCTTTGAATCCTCCCTGTTCGTCAGCACACACCTGGCAAGTTTAAGACGGGACGGAAATCAAGCTTTGGGTTCACTGTCCCAAATCCCAGGGCAGGGTGATTTCGGCCTTCCCTCTCCATTCCTGAGTGTCTCTGCGTGCCCTGTGAGGGGCCCTACGGTTCCTTCTCACCAGCCTTCTCACTGTTGTCACTGCGCTGGGCCTGTCGCCTCTGCTCCACCAGCTGCTTGTCCAGTTCCCGGAGCTGCTTCAGAAAGCCCCGGTTGGGCAGGACACAGCGGTTCTTGGCCACTTGTCGAATGGCGTCCACCACGGTCATGTTCTTGTGAATCATCAGGTAGGCCAGGACCAGGGTTGCCGACCGGCTGCGGCCCATGACACAGTGAACCAGGATCTTGCCTGAAATGCAGTGGGGAGAAGAGGCACCAAACTGTACTAGTCATCATGGCATTCTTCGCCACCACGCACTCTCCGGCGCGAAGAAATGCTAAGTTCCCTTAAGACTATCCTTGATGAAGCAGTAAAAATGAATTTTATCAAATTTCAGCCTTTGGTTACACTTCTACTTAATATTCTGTGTGATGAAATGGTACGAACACATAAAGCACTTGGACTGAGTACCAAAGTGAGATGGTTATCTCCTCGGGAGATTGAGTTGCAAGCTGAATTAGCCACTGTTCATGAAACACTGTTTTTACTTAAAAGAACAAATGACAGAAAAACCAGGATAATTCACACTTGGGTATTTGGCAGACCCTGTCTCAGAAGTGAACAAAGTAAGCCTCTCATTTCAAAGAAAACAACCAATGGTATTTGTTGCCAGGGATAAAATGCAAGCTTTTGAGCAAAAATATTAGAATTTTTGAAAACTTGTATCTATTACTGTGAGGTTGACCGTTTCCCAGTACTTTTAGGTTTTTCTGTTAAGGTTGGTGGTGATATTAACAATTGTTGGGGTTAATGTAGAGCATGAAATCAGCCATAATACCCGGCTTGCTAAAATGTAACATGGAGGCCACTGAGGGCAGGGAGGGTTTCGGAGAAGGGCGTAGGCCTTTGGAATGCCGGGGCCCGGTGACCCACTCTGCCGGAGGAATGCCGTGGGGAGTTGCCTTCCCCGAATCTCTCTTAGCCCAAACAGCCGCCCTGTGATCTAAGAGATGTGTGCATTGTCCCTTAGGCTATGTTTAGTAGCACACGCAGATTAGCATATCTTATCTTTCCTGTAAATCCTCCCAGTTTCAGTAAGACTCCTTGTCACACATCACGTGCTTGAGAAACATAAGGATTTGTGATTCTCCTGAAGGACCAATAAAAGCGGGAGCAAAGAAGAGCAAAGGGTCTTCGTCTCTGAGTGTTGACCCCCTTGCCTTCTCCTCTCTGTCACGGCAAAGTTTGGAGTCATCTTTCATCCATCGGTACAGGGATTGCTGGCCATTCCGGGCAAACAATGCGTTCTTTCAATAATGTACCATGAAAAGGGTCAACAATTGGAAGATCAACATAACTTAGGGAACCAATATTTTCCAAAGGACCAAAGTGGGATATCACGAAATCATGCATGGGTAAAAAAATCCATTCAAAGTGCAAGACAGACCAATGGATTTCCATATAACAGAAGATCTGTGAAGTTTCGGGATATGGTTTCAGATGCCACAACACAGCTAGCCTTTATAAAAAGATTACTTGTCAAGTTCTAGTGTACTATTAAAGAAGAATATCCACAATTATCTGAAAAGGCTATTAAAATATTTCTCCCTAAAAAAATAAAAATAAAAATAACCCTCCTTTCTCCAACTACATATCTGAATGAGGCTGGATTTTCTTCATATACTTCAACCAAAACAACATATCGCAACAGACTGATGCAGAAGCTAATATGAGAACCCAACTGAATTCTAATAGGCCTAACACTGAAGAGATTTGCAAACAATGTAAAATAATGCCGCTCTTCTCCCTAGCTTTCTTTTAGAAAATACTTTTTTTTCACAAAAGCATGTTATTATTTTTTTTAATGCTTTTTTTTTTTTAAAGATTTTATTTATTTATTTGAGAGAGAGAATGAGAGACAGAGAGGATGAGAGGCGGGAGGGTCAGAGGGAGAAGCAGACTCCCCGCCGAGCAGGGAGCCCGATGCGGGACTCGATCCAGGGACTCCAGGATCATGACCTGAGCCGAAGGCAGTCGCCCAACCAACTGAGCCACCCAGGCGCCCCAAGCATGTTATTATTTTAACATGCAAGGGGTTTTTAAATTTTAAACAAATATTTTTAAGGTTTTCAGTTTTTATTCCTAACAGGGTAAATATTGATAAATATAACCTACACAAACAAAAGCTCCTTGAAGACTTCAATACTTTTTTAAGAGTGTCAAAGGGTTCTGAGACTAAGAAGTTTGAGAACCAGAGATCTAGAAGAATCTCCGCAAACAAAAAGTCTCCCTTTGGACACTACCATGGCGTCAGCTGGGCCCAGCTGAGAAGCCACAAATGGGAAACAGCTTATGCATCCTGCAGGTCTGCTCTAGAGCTCACATGGTACATCCATGTGCTTGATCTCACCTTATCCTTCACAGAACCTTCCAGCTTCATTATCATCATCCCTGTTTTACAGATGGGAAACGGGCTCAGTGGTGAAATGCCATACCAGAGGTCACCCAAAAAGCAGGTGCCGGAAATAGTTTAAAGCACCTCGTTATCGAGACCTTTCTGTGTGCCGCCCACCGGCCTCTGGGCTCTGCGGACAGAGAAAGTAGTAAGATTAAGCTCTCCGCCTGTCCCCACCACTGCCATCCCAGTGGCTGCCCTCTCCTGTCGTTGTGGGATAGCTTGGCTGGGGCAGTTTGAGCCGTGTGACTTGTGACCCCAGGCATGTCTCTATTCCTCAGTCTCGGGCCTGAAGCTCAGAAGGATGACCAGGAAGACTTAGGGACATCACTGGGCTTGTGGAACATCAGCAGGATGGGAGAACTGCTTGCTAAAGAACATTTCTGCACGGGTGTGGCCCCCTCGTGTCCTTCTCACCCTCACCCCCTCACCTGTGCCCAGGGACCATGCCCAGGACAATGGTGATGGTCAGCAGCCCAGGCAGCGTGAGGAATCCAAGAGGCCCCGACCACCAGGCCCAGGGTTTCTCTCTCCCCGCCCCCTGCTGGCGAGGCCTGCACACCTTGCCCGGCAGTAAGGACTCCATTTTGGTTTCTCCACACACACATTGCTGCCACAGAGAGGTGCTTCATAAGGAACTGTTCATTTGATCACGATTCGTTTTCATGAATCCCCACAAGCTAACCAGGGGGCCCTCAATCCACCCGCCATGTTGCTGAGCTACAAGAATGTGACTACACCACTTTTTCCTTGTGCACATGGGCTAGAAAGGAAGGCAAGAAGCAGGGCCGGCTTCTTTATTGCTGGGTCGGGTCTGGGGGAGGCTGGCCCTGGCTCTTGCGTGGCATGACTATGCTCCCGGACTGGAACATACCTCTGGCATCCTAATCCTCACAGACTGTTCCAGAGGCTGCCTGGCCTCTTGCCAGCTCTGCTGATAACTTAAAGCGTTTCTTCCTCTCCTGGCAAAAAGGGTAATTCTTTCTGTCATGACTAAATGCTTGAAACAGACGAAAGCTGTAGTTCATTAAGTCTTTTGGGAGCCTGAAGTCTGTTAAGTGGGAGGAGGGGAGGGGAGAAAAAGGGCGAAGGGAGATGGAGGGGGTTGGAGGAGAAAGGGGGAAGGGAGGGAAGGGCGCGCTCGGCTCCAGCAGAAGCTCCTGGAGCTGAATTTTGGTTTTACAAAAGCAGCATTAATGCTGGCAGCCCCGTGAGCTTGGTAGGTCTCCCTCAGGTAAAGGGTGTGTCTCGGCAACCCCAGGGTGCTGCTCCCTCTCTGCTCTGAGGCTCTGCTAAGCACCACCCTTGGGACCCGGCATCGGGTGGTGAGAAGGCTCCCAGGAGCGTTCAGAAGACAAGGGCAAGGAAGGCTGCGTCGGCCCTGCTCCCGGCATGGCCCATGGCGGAGCCGCCGGGAGGCTCTCTGGTAGACACCAGCCAGGGTTAGGGCAGCTGGGTCGGGGTTGGCATTTCCTAGCTCAGTGGCTCTCACCTTGCGCCCCCCCCAGCACACAAGAGTTCGCGGCTTACATGTCCAGAGCCTCCCCCAACCCCCGAACCTGCCAACTACATAGTCAATCGGCACAACACACGGATGGGGTAGATACAATTATCATCCCCATTTTACGGAGGACATGAAGGGCCAAGAAGTGATCCGCCCAATTTGCACAACTGGGAAGTGGCAGGACTGTGATTCCCACCCAGGCTACCTGGTAGCAGATTCGGGGCTCTTCGATGCCATGTGGTATCACAAGTGCGTGTATAACAGACAAGAGTTCCACAGGGTAACACGAACTTTTACTACAGGCAATAATACATGCTGATATTTTCAATTCTTTTCGAATCCATTCATTTTCTTTTTTTTTTTTAAGATTTTATTTATGTATTTGACAGAGAGAGACACAGCGAGAGAGGGAACACAAGCAGGGGGAGTGGGAGAGGGAGAAGCAGGCTCCCCGCGGAGCAGGGAGCCCGATGTGGGGCTCGATCCCAGGACCCTGGGATCATGACCTGAGCCGAAGGCAGACGCTTAACGACTGAGCCACCCAGGCACCCCCCATTCATTTTCTTAAAAGAAATGCTGGTTGCATCCACTAAATTGATTTTTATGTTGCACGGATAGGTCCCAATCTATGATGTTTCAACAACGGTGATTTCAATGAAATAATTGCCCTTAGCCTTTACCAAAAGGTGAATTCCCGCAATGTTATAAAGAAAACCCATATGCAGAATCTCTGCTCCTCCCCAGTTGCACATTTTCCCTGGTGACCAAAAGACAGGCCTCTGTCACTCAGATCAGATATAGAGGCCAAGCCTGTTACCCACCAACCCCCACCCTCAACTCAATCCCACCCCCAGCAGGTATGTACTCTCATAAGCAACCTCCTTCCTTGGTTTTGGAGGGATGCTCTTTGCCTGTCTCTCACTCACCTACCTTCCTCAGCAGCCTGCAAAGGCAGAGCTCACACTTCTCCCAAACAGTTCTGGGTCTGTGGGAAGGCGTCAGAAGAAGGGTGCGTGTTGTGTTTTGAGCGGCCAGGGGGCAGGCCTATGTGTGCTGCAGTGGGGCAGGGGACCCTTCAAATACCCTGAAGACCTGGTCTGGTTAAAGCTTAGAAGCACCAGAGAGCCAAGCTCAGCTTGAAAGCGGACTGCATGTCTTTGTCCATACCTGCCTTGTCCACAATAGATTTTAAGATGGCTTTAAAAGCAGGCTATGGCCCGTTTAAGAAAAAGAAAAAAAGAACAAAAGGAGAGTGGCGATACGAACATCTGATCTCCAGAGCCTCACAGTATCCGCTCCGGGATTTCTCACATTAAAACCACACGACTTCACCTCTGAGGATGTCATGCCAGGAGCAGTGAAGGCCGTCCAAATGGGGTTTCCGGGGCAGTGTCTTGTCAGTACTTCTCTCTCCGCTGATGAATGACACGTTCAGTTGTTTCAGATCTTATAACCAGCTGGAGTGCCTCACCTTTCACGGTTTTTGGTGACCTCTTATACAGGAAAGTCACCAGATGTTCAAAACAAGGGCAAAGGACTCTTCTGAGAGGCCTGGGTGACAGAAGGCATTCCTGCTGGCCTCTGATTAGCTCTGTGACCCTGGGCACATCACTTGGCTTCTCTGGGCCTCTGTTTCCCCAGCTCTAAGGGCCGGACACTGGACTGGCTTATTTCTGAGATTTTTCAAGCGTGACCACCGTTGTCTAGGGAGTTCTTTCGGAAGGAATGGGTCAGGGTAGGACAGGGGTAGGAGGGGGTCGCACAGGCCACAGGTACAGCTTTACAGCCCCACGAGGAAGGCTTTTCGGCGAGAGTAGACAAGACTGGATGCGAGGGGAGCCTGGGTGGCTCAGTTGGTTAAGCGACTGCCTTCGGCTCAGGTCATGATCCTGGAGTCCCTGGATCGAGTCCCGCATCGGGCTTCCTGCTCGGCGGGGAGTCTGCTTCTCCCTCTGATCCTCCTCCCTCTCATGCTCTCTCTCATTCTCTCTCTCGCAAATAAATAAATAAAATCTTAAAAAAAAAAAAAAGACTGGATGCGAGGGGCAGCAGTGGGAAACACTGCACACTTGGCTGAAACTAGCCAAGGAAGAACAGGAAAGACAAGAGAGGGGAGAGAGAGAGGGGCCTTGCCTTCTGGCCAGACTGCGCATCAACATCTCTTACATCAAGAGTGTAATAAGGAACATGTGAGGGAGCCTGGCTCCAGTATGCCGTGGTAGTGTCCCCTAGACGCCCGACGAACGACTAGACACCCCACGCTGCCCATGCCTGTGGCAGGGAGGCTGAGCACCCCCTCCCCCCCCCCCCAGTGGATGGAGTCCGTGACGATGCCGTCGCTGACTAATGAGCGTTTTACTTCATTACCCTGACGACGCGGCATCGGTTACAAACACACAGCCCCTGGATTTCTTTTGTTTGGCCTTTGCAGCATTTTAAGAAATTTTCAAGGTGTTGCCAACACTTAAAAACCGGGCAATTTCACATTAAAATCCAGATTGAAGACTTTTCCTGAAAAATCAGATCGACCACATTCGCCCTGAGTCTCACAGGTCACGTGTTGGCTGAGACCGAGCAGCAGCGCCCCCTTTGGGGACTATTTGGGGCTCTCCACGCCGCTACGAGCACGCCCGCCCCAGCGCCCACGCGTTCCACGGAGCCAGCGTTATTTGCTTACGTTCCCTGCCGGGTTCTGCGGGGTTCGCATTTCGATTTGAGCCGCAGACTTGAGGATATTCAAGTGCAAAGGCGCTGAGAAGGGACCCCAGTCTCCCACCTGGCCGTGGGGTCATGTCCTGCTCCCCTTACCCGGACAACTGGTCTAGTCCCACAGCCCTGCCCACCGATTCTGTCCCCTGCACATTCTCTGACCTGAGCATATACTTTTCTCTCTTGACCCTTTCTTTTCTTTGCTGGGAGTTTTCGCACCTATGACCTACAGGTCAGGACCCACTCCAGCCTGACATCTCCTCATCAGCGCTCTGTGATCTGCCCAGGCCTACATATGACTTTTGAGCCCCATTCTTTCCTAATTCAGCAGAGCGGGGAAGACTCTAAAATGGTGTACCAGAAACTGAAAACAAGCTGTCATGTGAGTCTACTAGTTCAAAGTTGGAATGTCTTTTTTCCTTTTTTTTTTCTTTTGGGATTGGAAACTTTATTATTATGATGCACACATGCTAGCGTGGTTATGTGTTTCATGGTGCACGACCTCTCTTTATCAAACACATCTGAGAACCCGCTGTGCACCAGGTTCCACGCGAAGTGCTCTATGTGGGTTACTGCTGATCCTCATTAGAACCCTCCAAGGTAAATATTTTCATCACCAGATTGAGAAAGAAGGCTTAGCGAAATCACATTGTTAGTAAGTTGTAAGGTGTGAAACCCCACCCTGTCTTCTCCAAAGCCTGCCAAACCCCTTCCATTAAGAGAAAGTTTGGAGATACAGTAATGACAAAAGAGTACATTAAACAGAAACCGAAGGATTGGGCTGTGGCAGCTTTTTGTTTTTTCTTGTCAAATATGTTTTCAGTTAACTTCAAATAATCTGAGGCAAATTTTATCTCATGTTGATGAGTCAGAGTCCAGTTGCTTTTTGATACTGCTTAGAAACCCAGAATGTGCATAATGCAAAAGATGGTCAATAAATAGTCTCATAAAAGCATGACTTTGAACTAAGGCTTCCCCTAATAGAAGCCCTTCAGCTCTGTGAGGTTTTTTTTCACTGTGACCTTGCTTTCTGAACCAAAATAAAAACAAACTGTTGGTGCCTAGCTGTGGGGCCAGGACCACTGTGGGATGGCCATCAAGGTCTGGGACTTGGCCTGGGCCCAGCTGCAGACCGCAAGTTCCTGAAGCAGGTCAGTCCGCTGGTCACTGAGCCTCGTAATCCCAGCCTCTTGTGGCAAGAAAGGCTTTCAGTAACTGGACACCCTGAATTATGCGATGGCCCTGTAAAGGGGTATGAAATGTGGGCCTAAAGTCAGAGCACAGATTAGGGAGTATGAAATGTGGGCCTCTATGAAATGTCCCTGAAACACCCCCTTGCAGCAATAACTGCATATTGTTTTACCCCAATGCAGACCTAAGCCAGGCCCTTCTCTCCAAAAGAGCCTTGTAGCCTTTACCTGGATTAGACCAGCTAAAACTACATTTTGAGTGCAAGGACTAGCACTGTGATTTTAAAAATGGATAATTAGGGGTGCCTCCGTGGCTCAGTCGTTAAGTGTCTGCCTTTGGCTCAGGTCATGATCCCAGGGTCCTGGGATCGAGCCCTGCATCGGGCTCTCTGCTCTGCGGGAAGCCTGCTTCTCCTTCTCCCACTCCTCCTGCTTGTGTTCCCTCTCTTGCTGTGTCTCTGTCAAATAAATAAATAAAATCTTTAAAAATAATAAAATAAAAATGGAAAATTAACCTTGGGAAACTTGGACATCATGGGTGCAAAACTCAGATTCTCAAATACAGGTCACCATTTAGAGGGTTGGGTTGTCAGCTTTCTATAAGAGGCCTCACTAGACTGTGTGTTGGGGGAGGAGGAAGGATGGGGGGGCTGCGGGCTCAGTTGGTTGGCAGGAGGTTTTGAAGTCTCTCCAAGTCAGCTCCCCAAAGGTTTTCTGGCATCGAAGCCCCTAGCTATTAGGTTTGGGCCCAGGCACATTTGGCGTCTGGGCTGTAGTCCCAGCTTTGAGGGCATCCAGACGTCCCTGCTGTTCCAAGATCGCTGCTGAGCCTTAGGGAATTGGGATTCAGGCCGAAGGCCTTTCCTCCGAACCTCCCGATCCCGATTCCCCACAGCGGCAATCAAGGCGCGAACCCCACCAGCAGCACGCTCAGTGTGGCTCCCGGCCTCCTGGGCCTCAGACAGTCCCAACTCAATCACTCGCAACCCCTGCAGAGCCCGCTTTGAGAGCGCGCAGATCCCGCCTCCAGCCAAGGTGAGGGGCGGGCCTTCGTGGGGCGCGGGGGCGGGGCCGCAGGCGGGTTTGTTGGGGTCGAACTACCAAGGGTGGCGGGTCTCTTACTGTGGTCCCGGCTGAGCGCCGCGTCGATGAAAGCGGCTGCTGGGTAGAAGAAGACGCTGAGGTCGAAGGTGGGCAGGTCGTCGGCCTCAACGCCGTGGTATTCGATGGCCATGTCGCGGTAGTAGTCGGGCCCCGTGTCCACGTTCCAGCGGCCGTGAGCCGCGTTCAGCACGTGCGTGAAGCCCGCCTTCTGCAGCCCGAAGCGGTCCAGCGCCGTCGCCCTGGGCACAAGGGGAGAGGCTGGTTGGCTGCGTGGCGCCTTGGCCTGGGCGTGGGGGATACGCTGGGCTGCCCATGGGTTTCTGCCATCAATTCCAAAGTAAGGTCTAGTCACTGAAACGAAGGACTTCCCTCGTCCAAAGCCCTGCTCTAACTGACCCCTTGGCTGCATGTTCCTGGTTCTGCCGCCTCGAGAAGGGAGAGAATAAAGGGTGGGGTAGGTGAGCTAGTCATTGGTCCGTTCACTCTTTCATCATTCACCAAATACAGAAGAGTTGGTGCTACCCCAATGCTTATAGCAGCAAAGTCCACAAGAGCCAAACTATGGGAAAAGCCTAGATGTCCATCAACAGATGAGTGGATAAAGATGTGGTGTATATATATATATATATATATATATATATATATATATATATACACACAATGGAATATTATGTAGTCATAAAAAAATGAACTCTTGCCATTTGCAACGATGTGGATGGAACTAGAGGGTATTTTTTTTTTTTTTAAGATTTTTATTTATTTATTTGACAGAGAAAGACAGCAAGAGAGGGAACACAAGCAGGGGGAGTGGGAGAGGGAGAAGCCGGCTTCCCGCGGAGCAGGTAGCCCGACATAGGGCTCCATCCCTGGGATCATGACATGAGCCGAAGGCAGGTGCTTAACGACTGAGCCACCCAAGTGCCCAGAACTAGAAGGTATTATGCTAAGCGAAATAAGTCAATCAGAGAAAGACAATTATCATATGATCTCACTGATATGTGGAATTTGAGAAACAAGGCAGAGGATCATAGGGGAAGGGAGGGAAAAATGAAACAAGAGGAAACCAGAGAGGGAGACAAACCATAAGAGACTCTTAATCTCAGGAAACAAACTGAGGGTTGCTGGAGTGGGGGTGGGGATGGGGTGACTGGGTGATAGACATTGGGGAGGGTATGTGCTATGGTGAATTGTATAAGACTGATGAATCACAGACCTGTATCCCTGAAACAAATAATACATTATATGTTAATTTTAAAAAAAAGAAGACTTGGTACTAGACACTATGCACTGTCACCTGCTAAATCCCTTAAAAGGCCACCAGAATAACCTATTCATCTCAGCTTTACAGCAGGCCTCTCCTCTGAACCTTCCAGATGTTATAGGGTTTGGTGGGTTGGGACTCAAATGAATGATTTAAGATGCTGTTTCCATGCAAGGAATTGATTGGGATTGGGCAAAATTCTTGACATTGATGTCCACAGGGGTTGTGAACACAGTATAGAACTCTTGCTTTGATAGGTGAATCATTGCCTAGTTGGGTAAAGCATTTTTCTGAGACAGGTATTTGAGCTGTCTATTGTTTGAGTTGATTTCAGGAAGTTCCTGGAGCCAACTGTGATTTTTCTGATTTATAGCCTTATCTTTCTAGGCAAGAATTTCCAGGAACAAAGAATAAAGTCATTTGAAGTAGGTGGCCTTGGAATATAGGGCAGAGGTAGGCTGTCAGAAGCAGCAGGAGTTATTTATGTCTAGAGGGGCCAGGGAAGACCTTCAGGGGAGAGAGCCCTTTGAGTTTGCCTTACTACAAATGTCAGCACTTGGTGATGGAGGGGAAGAAGGAGGCAAGGGCAAGGAAGTAGCACAGCCCAAGGGGTGGAGGCTGGAGATAATGAAGGCCTTTCAGGAAATGTTTATTATTTCCTGTAATCAATCATTTATCACAAATAATGATTTAGAATCTCTTGTGTGCCAGGCACTGTCCTGGGTGCTGATGATGCAGCAGTGAACAGGTTAGTCAAGGTCCCGCGGGAAGCATAGATTCTCATGGGGAGAGCAAATAAACAACACACGAATAAACAAGATAATTTCAGACAGCGGTATGAGCTGCGCCGAATGGCTGTGGTCCTGCTTTAGGTAAGGTGTTGGGGGAAGGCCTTGCTGGAGGTAGTATTTGAGCTAAGACTGGGGGGTGAGGAGCTAGGCAGCGGCAGAGCAGGAGGAAAAACGTCTCATCCAGGCTGAGGATACAGCAAGTGCTAAGAAGAGAATGCAAACACACGTGGCTCTAGTAGCAAGGAGGATAGTAGTACAAGAGCAGATGGGAGAGGTAGGCAGGGCCGGGTCAAGGTGGACCCCGTAGGCCATCGGGAAGAGCTTGCATTTTACTGTCAGTGTGGTGGAACGCCCCCTGCTACGGAGGGTTTTAAGGAAGGGGTGAGCATTGTTTACTTTTTAAACAATCAGTCTGGAGATGTGTGGACATGGACTGGAGAGGGGGAAAAAATGGAAGCAGGGAGCTCTGTTGGAGGCTGTTGGAGTTGTACAGCCAAGAGAGGAAGGTGGACGGAGGAGGTGGGGTCACAGCAGGACTTGCTGATGGACTGGGGAGGGGGCAGGGAGGAGTAAGCTGGTTTGGCCGGAGCATAGGATGTGAGAGGAGAGGAGAGAAAGGTCTGGAAAGGGAGTGTGGGGTTGGATCGTGGAAGTGCTTGGATCTGTATCTGGGGGGCTCAAGGACAGCTTTTGATAGTGTTTGAGGAGGGGTGATCCTAACTAGGTTTTAAGATGACATCTCCCCTCAACAGCACAAAGACCGGTTCTACAGCTCAGGAAAGAGATGACAAGGGTCTGGAACCATAACAGTGAGAGGCCAGAGGTAGCATCGTGCTCCAGCTGAGGGCTTATCTCAAGGTCACTGATAAAGGATGTAGACAGAGGCACCATATCGAATGCCAACATTGATCAATACCTTGGGCCAAAAGGAGCCTTGCAGCAAGAAACATATGCCATGGCCCCTTGGCCAAGGGCCCCTCATCTTCGCTGTTTTCCTGGAGCTTTTTCTTGGTCATGAGGAACCACGATAGAGTCCAGTGTTTGGGAAAGGGAGACCCAAACACAGGCATCGAGCTTTTCGAAACATTTGCAGACAGCCCATTGGAACTGAGCCACGGGATGGTGGAGGGTTCCCCCAAGCCCCCCAGCTGGCCTATGGCGCTGCCATCCTGACTATGGATGGACTACATTCTGCTTTCCATTTTTCCTCAGAAAGACCTGTTTCATATTTCTTCTTGTCCCAAAGTATGTATACAACAAACATTTTGCTTTTGGGACATAGATCTGCACTCAATTAAAGCCTCCACTAATGCAGCCCATCTTGCTGAGTAGCAATCAACCTCACTTTGACGTTGAGCTCAGTGGAAAAATTAAAATTAACTGTCCTTGACAGGAAGTTCCTCCCCACCATAAAGACTGTTATCTCTGGGTTCAGCAACTGGGTTTCAACATAAGCAAATGGCAGTTTGAATAAATAGCAATTTGCACTTTACTGCTGTTGGGGTCAAGGATCAGGGTAGATATGTGACAAGACTCGTTGCCTGACACCTTCACAATCAGCCCACAGAGCTGGTTTTAGCTGTGTCTGAGGGCAAGTAAAGGACTCCTGGGGAGGATCAGACCTGGTGGATGTCTGAGGCCCTCTGCAGGTTTTCGGGGGCCCTGTGGCGGTCTGAGCCAGGCAAGGGAGGTGGTGTCCTTACATACCGCTCTGGGGATTTCCCTCTAGCTTGACACTCAGAGTCCAGTTGAGAGCTCAAAAGAGTATCCATGGCAGAATGGGGATCTACAAATAGAGAAACTCTTAGAACTCTTGGTACATAGCGGCTGTGATGCAGGCAGGTCCCCAACTGACCCAAATGCCTGGCTCAGCGATTCCTGGGAGTGGGATGGGTCAGAGGGGGCTCCCTAGCCCTGTATTGTGGTTTTCTTAAATGTTAGGGCCGCCCGCTTAGATATGTTATGTGGGAAAGAGACTAAGAAATGTGCTTCTGCTGAGTAGAAAAGCTCCGGAGAAAAACAAACTTAGAAATTTACCTCTAGAACCTAGGTGACGCAGGAGCCTTAGTTTCTGGATATTTAATAATAATAATAATAATAATAATAATATCCTAATGTAAGCAATTTGTTTAAAGAATAATATGTCATCAAAATATGTCATCTAATTATAAAAATAACACATGCTCAGTGCAGAATGTGAAAAACATATTCCCCCCCAGACACACAAAAATTTTCTACCCCCTAAAGTCTATTTGCTTTTTGGTGTAAGATTCCCCAGTTGCTTTTCTATGCATAGATTTATAAATTTTATATAGAGATTTGTTTTGGGGTATGACACCATATGTAAATTTCAAAAACTGTGACATGGTGATATATTGTAAATGTCTTCCTCTGTCAACGTATAGGCTTCAGTAGCTGCACGTTGTTCCATTCTGTAGAGAAATCTCAATTTTACCTCACCCAGCTCCTATTTTTGGACATTTGTCTCCTTTCCCTCTCACTCTGGCTCTATCTCTATCTCTCTCCTGAAGGGAGAGTGGCGGGTATTATAAGAAACACTATAAATGAACAACTTTGCTGGATTTCTTTGGGCACATTTCTGATTATGTTCTTAGGAGATACTTTTTTTTATTTTTTAAGTGGAATTGCTGGGTCAATGGGTATGAGCATTTTTAACATGTTTGATATGTGTTACTAAATTATCCTCCAGAAAGCTTGCTCATTTTACTTTCTGATTTTTATTCTTTGCTAATTTCATAGGCACAAAAAAAAGATGGCTCATTTTCATTCCTTTTAACAATGAGGTTGGACATTTTCTCACACGTTTGTTGGACTTGTGCAGTTTACTTTTGAAGAACGTTGCCATATCTCTGTTTTTGGCCCAATTCCCTTTATCTCCTCTCCCTGTGAAACCTCTGGCCTGGCTCTGGATTCTTACTCTAGATTGGACGGCCAGGGAAATGACTTCCTTCTGGCATGGACCAGTTTCCTCATTCAGAGACCTCCCCTCCCTTCCTCCTTACCTGGCCTGGCCCAGCCTCCTTCCAGCCCCTCTGAAGTTCCTCCAGGAAGCTTGTTTCAACCCACCACCCTTGAGGAATTGTGAATAAGAGCACTCTTGGTGAAGCAGTCTCCTTGGGCAGCACTCCTGACATTCCACTTCTCCAGACCTCTCGGTGCCCTCCGG